CCAGGACAACCAGGTCAATCAGCAAGCTTTCGAACAAGAACTTGTCAGCCCTAGACGCCAGACTGGTTTGTTGAAGATGATTGAAACCGTTTTCGAGACGCTTCAAAGCCGGATGGTCCCTTACGCAGAGAAGTCTATGCAGGTTGTTCTTTACTGTCTCGTTCGGGCATGCCGCGAGATTGAAAAGGACCAGGCACCCGCTGCCGATTCGCCAGAGGGTCGTTTGTTAACCGTTTTGCGCAATATTCGACACACATGTATCCGTTGTCTGGAGCTTATCTTCTCCAACACTCAGGATCAGGATTGGTCGTCCTACGTGCGCATAATCTATGAGGACGTGATTAACCCCAGGCTCGAGAACTTTGCAACCGAAACGGCTCAGGGAGTGTCAGGTCTCCTCAAGTTGTTCCATGTCTGGGCCTCTGCTCCTAAGTCCTCATTCTACCTTGTCCAATACAACGATGCTCTGCTGAAGAAGGTCGTGGACTGCCTGGGTGTGGATTCGGCCCGTGATGAAGTCAAGGTCTTTGTCATGGACGAGATCTTAGTGCCACTAATCAATCTCTCAACTGGCAAGGAGCTTCAAGAGCAGGAAAAGATGAGCGATATTCCTGCCGACGAAATTCGTTCCGAGGTCTTGTCGCCTTATATCGAGCACACTTTGTCTCATCTTGGCAGGCTCCTCAAGCGCGGTCCTTCCCGGCCCCTCCTGATTTCTGGCGTCCAGACCCTGTCTCTGCTCGCGCCGTGCGTTGAGTCCTCGGAGGAGACAACTAGTCTCATCAGCATCACTACTTATCTACTCCGTCAGCCTCCAGACCGCGTCTCTCCGAGAACCAAGTCTGGCCTGCTAAAATCTTTGGAACATTTTTTGCCTCTCTTCAACCCGCAGGAGGATGCTAATCTGTCCCAAGAAGTGTTCGAAGCAGTGTCGTCGATGTTCGATTATTTCAGGGACAATGCCAACAGAGAAGTTTTGGCCCGTGTCTTTACTGCTTTCGCCAAACGCGATGATGAGCTTGTTCATGTCGCTGCCCTTTGCGAGGACCTCAACTCCATGTCTACTAAGAGACTCGAGGTGGACTATGACCGCCGTCTGTCAGCTTTCAGGGAGGTGAATGAGAACTTGTGGGAGAAGCTCAATGCCAAGCAGTGGCGGCCTCTTCTCTACAACATGCTGTACCAGGTTAAGGATGAGGAGGAACTCTCGATTCGGTCAAGCGCTTCGTTTGGATTGCGTCGATTCATGGAACGGGCAGTTCTCAATGATGTTGAGGCTTTTGAGCCTCTGGTGGCAGACGTCTTATTCCCTGCTCTGCAGAACGGCGTTCGCCAGAAGTCTGAGCTCATTCGATCCGAGTTCATCACTGCCCTTGGTTACTTTGTCAAGCTGAACCCAGAGCGTCCTAATGTTCAGGATATGCACGTCTTGCTTGTCGGTGACGATGAAGAAGCGTCTTTCTTCAACAATGTTCTCCACATTCAGCAGCATCGTCGTCTGCGGGCGCTTCGCCGTCTTGCCAGCGAGGCGGCCAAAGGAAACATCCAGGCTTCGAACATCAGCACGATCTTCATTCCCCTCAATGAGCACTTTGTCTTTGATGAGGAAGCCGACGAGGCTACTCATAACCTCATCGCGGAAGCTGTAACAACTATCGGAGCCCTTGCAGAATGGCTGGATTGGAACCAGTTCAGGGCTATCTTCCGGAGATACCGCGGTTACATGCAGAGCAAATCCGACATGGAGAAGAACATCATTAGACTCCTGGGCAAGATGGCCGATGCCTTGACCAATGCCATGAACCAGCATACGACGATCAAAGCGGCGGCCAAGGATGGAATGGATGGGCTTGAGACCTCTAGCCCTGTTTCTACACTTGCTCGGTCTATCCCATCTGTGGCCAAGGTTGCTACTGAGCTGACCACAAACTTTACCCCCTTCTTGACAGATTTCATCCACCACAAGAACGAGACACAGATGAGTCTGCGTCTACCCGCTTCGGTCACAACGATCAAGCTGCTCAAGTTGTTGCCCGAGGACGATATGTCCATCCGTCTCCCACCTGTCCTCTTGGATGTATGCAGTATCCTCAAGAGTCGTACCCAGGAGACTCGGGACACTGCTCGGAAGACCCTGAACGACATTGCCCTTTTGCTGGGCCCATCGTACTTCGGCTACATCCTGAAAGAGCTTCGAACTACTCTCACCAAGGGTTACCAGCTTCACGTTTTGTCATTCACAGTCCACTCGATGCTTGTGGCGACGACAGATGATTTCCAGCAGGGTGACCTGGATTACTGCTTGCCTGACTTGAGTGCTATTGTCATGGATGACACGTTTGGCACAGTTGGCCAGGAGAAGGAAGCCGAGGAATACGTGAGTAAGATGAAGGAAGTCAAGAGCAGCAAGAGTTTCGACTCCATGGAGCTTCTCGCGAAGAACTCCACAGTGCTTAATCTGGCTAACCTGGTTCGGCCGCTTCAATCGCTTCTTCGAGAGAAGCTTACCTCCAACATTGTGAGAAAGGTCGACGAGCTCTTGCGGAGAATTGGTGTTGGTCTTTTGAGAAACCCTGGTGTTGAAAGCCGCGATATCCTTGTCTTCTGTTATGAAGTCGTCAAGGAGACGTACAGTGCACCGGCTCAGGTCAAGGCACAGGCCCCCAAGTCTCAACAGGCCGAGAACCTGGAGATCGACCTGCGCGGGTCCAAGCGGGGTGAGAAGAAGGGCACTACTTCTTCCTATATCCACAAGTTGACACGCTTCTCTCTTGATGTTCTGCGTGCAATCCTGAGCAAGTTCGGCTCCCTGCTTACGCCGGCTAATCTAAAGGGATTCATTCCCATCATTGGCGATTCGCTGGTACAGGCACACGAAGAAGTGAAAATCTCGGCTCTCCGTCTTTTGTCAACCATCATCAAGCTCCCGATCCCCGAGCTTGACAGCAACTCTCACGTCTATTTCACCGAAGCAGTCAAGGTGATCAAGGAGGCCCCGAGTACAAACACGGAAGCTGCGCAGGCATCTTTGAAGTTGGTCTCGGCTATGCTCCGTGAGAGAAAGAGCACCAAGCTCAGAGATGGACATCTTGCATACCTTCTTCAACGAGTTACCGCCGACATCGAAGAGCCTGACCGCCAAGGTGTCACCTTCAACTTCATCCGGGCTGTTATGGCAAGGAAGTTCGTGGTTCCTGAAGTGTACGAACTGATGGATAGCATCGCTACCATGATGGTTACGAACCAGACTCGTGCTGCCCGGGACCTCGCTCGTGGTACCTACATTCACTTCTTGATCGAATACCCGCAAGCCAAGAATCGCTGGACCAAACAGCTCAGCTTCCTCGCCAAGAACTTGGATTACAAGCACCAGGACGGTCGCCAATCAGTCATGGAGGCAATTCACATGCTGCTGTCTAAGACTGGCGACGAACTGGCGCAAGACATTGTCAGCACCTTCTTCCTTCCGGTGGTCATGGTGATGGCGAATGATGACGCGCCTGAGTGCAGGGAAATGGCGGGTACCCTACTGGGAGAGCTTTACACTAGGGCAGACCGGGAGCAGATGAAGGCCATGCTCACGCCTCTTCATTCTTGGCTGGAGCAAACGGATAACATGCTTCTTACCAGTACCGGTCTACAGGCTATGAGAATTTACTTCGAAGTCGAAGGCACTGAAAAGGACAAAGAGGCTCGCTTCGTCGTAGATGTGCTCCTGGCCATCATGCAACCTGTCCTCAAGGCCGAGGAGACTGAGAGCTGGCAAGCCCTTTACTTCTCCCTTCAGCTCTACACCAAGCTTTGCAAGTCTGTACCGGCAATCGCGCTGGCCAAGGAGCGCACCAAGCTCTGGGCCGCTATCCGTGAATGCCTGTTTTACCCTCACGCCTGGGTCAAGACCTGCGCAGCGAATCTCGTCGGCACATGGCTTGCGGACCTGGCCAAGAACAATGCTGCAAATGGATATGGTTCAATCCCGTTGGCTGGTTCCATGGGATTGTCGCTTGACAAGGACGCCATGCTGCAGCTGATCCGTGCCAGTTTGCGCTCTCTTCGCACCCCGGCAGTCAGCGAGGAGCTCGCCATGCAGTCGGTTCGCAACATCATTTTCCTCGGCCGATGCTGCGCTCAGAACGGCCTTGAATTCGCCAAGACCGGTAACAAGGAACTTGACTCGGACGCTAGCGATAGCGAGGATGAGGCGGAGGACGAGGCTGGACGCCAAACCGGCGCCACGAAGACGGCCATTCACTACATCTTCGAGCAGACATCTTCCATTCTGCGCAGAGAGCTGCTTACCACGCGGGCTGAATCTTTGATTCCGAAGACCGCTTCCATCGGACTTTTTGCCTCGCTCTGCCGCCATCTCGAAGTTGAACAGATCCGTGACTCCCTGCCCGTCATCCTCCTCCCTCTGCAGCACATGACGGATACCAGTATCCCAGCTCCTCGCTCCTCAGACGAGGTCTTCCGAGAGACCTACAAGGGCCTGGTCTCCAACTGCCACGAGGTCCTGGACATCCTGCAGAAGAAGCTTGGAACGACCGAGTACGTGCAGATCATGGCGCAAGTGCACGATTCCATCAAGGAGAGACGTGAAGACAGACGTGTCAAGCGACGGATCGAAGCCGTCACCGAACCGGAGCGCTACGAGAAGGACAAGAGACGGCGGAACGACCGCAAGCGCGAAAAGAGAAAGGAGAAGGGAGCGGAGCATCGCAGCAAGAGACGCGGTTGGTAGTGGAATAGCGTTGCATGTTGGATATACAGGGTTTGTTTATACCAAAATCGCACGGCGTTGGGAGAATAGGAGATCGATCATGTTTGAGATGAGCTGTCTATCTATCGTACATATGATTCTTTTGTCTTCACTTCATCTTCCACCTCCATATATAAAAGTACAATGTATATCCCAAGAGCAGAGTGTACATACTCCAATTCCAATGATGATTGATATCAACCCCAACCAGGACGCCAAACGCTCATCAACTTTTTCAAACCCCAAATACAATGCATAGCCGAGTCAACAGTGTAGTAGTCTAAGCCGACTTGCCCTCCTCCCCTTCACCTCCACCCTCCTTTTTATTAACACTCCCATCATCCCAGAACTCCATATCGCCATCCACATACCCACGAGTTAACTTATCGCCCTGCCGGGCCAAGATATCCTCAAGGGTGCTCTTCTTGTCGAAGAAGATGTTCAAATGATCGGCAATGACATGACGAGCATCGCAAGACGGGCACTTGATCAACACCGTGCCGCGGTGGTATCCGTGCTTAGACATGCGGTGTGAGGAACGTTCTCCGCATGGCTTGCAGGTGAATGTGATTTGGTATGCGGGCTCCTGTTCGCGGCGGAGACGGTTCTGTTCTTCATTCTGGGCTTCGGTGGATGCGTCGACGGAGCGGTCCGTAAGAGGTTTCGCTGAGGAGGAGTTGAATCTGGTGGATGTGAGGTGTGTAGTGACTCGTGGAGAGGAAAGTGTTGGTGTTTGGCGATGGATGAGCTGAGTGAATGGCCGGGAGGATGTTTGAGAGGCGCGGGTGATGGTAGCGCGGGGGAAAGCGGACTGAAGAGAGCGGAGACCGCGGGGGAGGCCAGTAAATGGGCGCATGGTGTATAGTTGTATGTGAGTAGTGAATAGATGAGGAATTGGTAGGTGTATTTGAGGAGATGAAGATGAGAGTTGATGAACTGAAGAATCCGAGAGAAGTACTCCGTCCAAATGACGGAGGAAAGCCGGAGTTTGCGCCGGAATTTCGTTGTTCCAGCTCGGGCCTCCGCGGTCTCGCCGTCTGTGTTACTTCTCCCTCTTCCTCTTGCCATCCCCTCGACCGTGAAGGAAGCGATGATTCGATGAGTGTGGCGAAGCTCTTGATTGTTGAATTGGCGGATACCTGAGGTATTAACCGATAAACTAGCTGTTCATCTGGCTGCATTGTTTGACCATCCGAATACGTCACTGATCTTTGCGGCGAGGATTGCCCCGCGCATCAGAGCTGTCAATCATTTGTCGAGCTGGATGATAATTGCTGGCGTTTGCAAATATGTCTTTACGCGCAAGGAATAAGATCCGTGCTCCACGCAGGGTAGGTTTTTTTTTTTTTTTTTTTCTTATTTACGTTCATCTTATGGCCCGGAGCTTGTGGTGTTGTGTCCGGGGCAAAGTTCCGTTCGATAACGAAATTGGGCTCAGTAAATCGGTATGCTAACGAGAGGAACATCAGGGCATGGCAGGGAGCAAAGGCAACGATTTCGAAACGAGTTGGGCGGAGCTATCTAGCTCGCTGAAGAAGATCCATACTAAAGATGCCTCGGCTTTGTCTTTCGAGGAGATATATCGCAAATCCTACAATATCGTCCTGGGAATGCGTGGAACGGAACTGTACGAACGGATTCAGCAACTGGAACGTGAATGGTTAGATACCGAAGTACACAAGTTGGTGACCGGGGCCATCTCTCCGAGTCTGCTGCTGGCGAAGCAGCTGGTAGATGCGCAAGACCAAGCCAATGAGAGGCGAGATGCAGGAGAGCGATTTCTGGCAGTGCTCAAGGAAGCTTGGGAGGATCATCAGCTATGTATGAAGATGATCACGGATGTTCTTATGTACATGGTAAGTGTTACATCCTCCTTCATCTGCACTGAATCCGCGTTAACTGAAGGATAATCTCATCCATCAGGACCGTGTTATGTCGACGGACCACAGAAAGCCATCCATTTATGTGGCATCAATGGCGTTGTTTCGAGACCATGTGCTTCGCGCCCCCATTCGACCGGACACCACGACGAGCGTATACGATGTATTGGAGTCGACCGTGCTATTCATGCTACAACTGGAACGGTCTGGGCATATTATCGACAGGCCTTTGATCAGACACTGCGTGTATATGCTGGAGGGGCTTTACGAGACTATTACAGAGGAGGAATCATCGAAATTGTACCTCACTGTCTTTGAGCCGGCATTCTTGGAAGCCAGCAAGAAATTCTACCAGGCTGAAGGTCGGCGATTGCTGGAGACCGGTGATGCTGCAACCTTTTGCAAGGTCGCCACAGAGCGTCTCTCGGAAGAGACTGAAAGGTGTATTGACACGCTGTCATCACTCTCAAAGACGAAGATCAAGGATGTCCTCGATAATGAACTGATAAAGAAGAACATCGCCGAGGTGGTCAATCTCGAGGGTACCGGTGTTAGAACCATGCTGGACAATGATCGCATCGATAATCTACGAAGCGTTTACGTGCTCAGCGCAAGAGTCGACAGCAAGAAGACCCCTTTGACTACTGCCGTGCAGAGGCGGATCGTCGAGATGGGCAAGGAAATCAATGCCTCTGCAATTGCATCGCAAGTCTCGGCCAGTGCTGCAGGCAAGAAGCCCGAACCTGGTGAAAAGAAGCCAGCAGAGAAACCGGTGAACCAGCAGACGGTGGCTGCCATCAAATGGGTGGACGATATCCTGCGTCTGAAGCAGAAGTTTGACAACATCTGGGAGAATGCATTCGAGTCTGACCAAGTCCTGCAAAGCGCGATAACCAGCAGCTTCTCGGAATTCATCAACTTGTCTCAAGGTGGAGACTCACGCAGTTCTGAATACCTCTCCCTATTCTTCGACGAGAATCTGAAGAAGGGCATCAAGGGCAAGACAGACTCCGAGATTGACATTTTGCTGGACAACGGAATCACGCTGCTGCGTTACATCAAAGACAAGGACATGTTCGAGGCATACTACAAGAAACATCTCTCTCGTCGTCTGCTGATGAAGCGCTCCGTGAGCATGGATGCCGAGCGGCAGATGATCTCGAAAATGAAGATGGAAGTGGGCAACCAGTTCACACAGCGCCTGGAATCTATGTTCAAGGATATGACCATCTCTGAGGATCTGACGTCGAGCTACAAGGAACACATGCGACAGTCCAGCGACCCCGACCAAAAGCGGATTGAATTGGACATCAACGTGCTCACCAGTACGATGTGGCCCATGGAGATTATGTCCAACGCGAGAAATGACGAGGTTCAACTACCCCCTATCCTTCCCAAGGAGGTCGACAGCGTCAAGCAAAGCTTCGAACAGTTCTACCTTGGCAAGCACAATGGCCGCAAGCTGTCGTGGCAAGCCAGCATGGGCACGGCCGATATCCGCGCAACCTTCCAACGGGCCAATGGCAAGGTCCAACGACATGAACTCAATGTCTCTACCTACGCTATGATCATTCTACTGCTTTTCAACGATGTGCCCGCGGGCGAGTCTCTCACCTACACCGAGATCCAAGAACGCACTCGTATCCCTGACCACGATCTTATCCGAAACTTGCAATCCTTGGCCGTCGCACCCAAGACCCGTGTCCTGAAGAAAGATCCCATGAGCAAGGACGTCAAGCCCACAGACAAATTCGTCTTCAACAACGAGTTCCAGAGTCCATTCATGAAGGTCCGGATCGGCGTTGTCAGCGGCAGCGCCAACAAGGTGGAGAATCAGGACCAGCGCAAGGAGACGGAGAAGAAGATGAGTCAGGAGCGCGGAGCCAGCATCGAGGCTGCCATTGTCAGAATCATGAAGTATGCACTCTCCTCATACATGCTAACGACCCACCACTAACAATGCCACAGACAACGAAAAACACTTATCCACTCGCAACTCATGACCGAGGTACTCTCTCAGCTATCTGCACGATTCGTCCCAGACGTCAACATGATCAAGAAGCGCATCGAGAGCTTGATTGATCGCGAGTATCTCGAGCGAGTGGAAGAGGATCCACCTACATACGGATACGTGGCGTAGCCAATCTTCCTCTCTGCTGGTTTTCTATTCATTTTCACGGTTGTTTCCTTTTGTTTCTTCGGTGGCGTTGAGCGTACTGAGCATGAATGGTCTTGGACTTGAGCGGCGATGGCGCACGGTATGGACACGGAATGAAAGCGTTTCAGCCTACATAGATGTTGGTTGTTTTATTAACTTGATGCGGATGTTTACAAGGGTGGGTGATGCATCAGGACGAGCGAAGTGATATGCAGTGATGAGTGATGCAATGATGATGATTGATACCGAGACTGTGCAGCGCTCAAAGTACTCATGAACGTAAACAAGCGTAGCACTCACCCACTCCCTTGGTCAAGAAGATTCAAATAAATCCAGGTATATGTAATATGCAAAGGTATAATCCCCCCACCCAACGCCTCAAATGCAATCCTCCCTCCCCCTCCCCCAAAACCCACCCTACAAAACCTCAACC